CCTTTCCCTTCCCCTCCCCAGAACAGACACCCTGTGAGGTGGGTGGGGCTGAGAGAACTCTGACACAGACTGCTCTTTTTCAAGGACAGCTGTGCCAGAGCTTGTGATTGACCCAAGGTCACATCAGCAGGTGCAAGTGGAGGAGTGGGGAATCAAACCCGGTTCTCCCAGATTAGAGTCCGCACACTTAACTACTACACCAAACTGGCTCCTAACTACCTGATCCTTCCAGGTGCCAACACGTAAAAATGCTAGGATCCAACCAATTATCATTCTCCTTTAGAAGAATAATTGAAGAGGAAAACAGTATTGTCCTCTCAAAACCTGGTGTGTGTGTGTGTGTGTGCGTGACAGAGAGAGGGAGGGAGGGAGAAAGAGAGAGAGAGGTAGTACAGACAAACTATTTGTACTTGATTCTCAGGTGAAATCTTTCCCCTTTGGTTTTCTTTTTCTGTAATTTGGTCCTAAAGCATGAATTCTCAGTCCTTCCTTAAAACTCAGAGATGTTTCCTCCTACACGTATTGCAAGAATCAACGTACATTTATTTCTACAGAGGGAAATCAGGTGAGGAGCTGAAGAAACGAATATGAACAATGAAAGGGAACAATTTGCTGCTTATCACCCACAATCATTCCGAAGTCATTTTAGTGGATGCAACAGTGAATGCATTTAGAGAACGCAACAGTTCTTGATGCATATATAAGATAACGTAGTATAACTGAATATGCACATGTACACAAATTTTAATTCCAATAACTGTACCCCTGGACAAAGCAATTCCATCAGAGTTATCCAAATGAGTCGGATACATTTTAAGATCTGACAACATACCTTGCCCAATGGTTGGTGGTGAAGGTGTAGGCACGGCAATGGGAATGCCAATACTGCTGCTTCCACTGTTTTCTCGACTGCCGCTTCCTCCGCTACTGCCGCTGCATGAAACACAATAAAGTGCAGACCAGTAAGCGAGCACTTTGCATGAACGCTTGCTTTAACAACTGTGCATTAAAACAGAATCCACAGCGACATAACGGATTTCACGAAAAAGCCACAAGCTATGAGTTGTCAATCCCCCCCCCCAAAAAAGAAGAAAAGATCCCTCCTGCTTATTATCATATCAGTGGAGCAAAATGCATGAAATTCTATCAGATATAGATGTAATTAGCTAGGTCATTAGACACTCTCACACAGCCACAGCTTTAGCTTATCTGACTATTTAATTAAAAGTGCAAGCAACCATCCAAGAGCTAAAAGAACGGTTAGCCTAACATAACATTGTAAAATGGTTACAAGCACTCCAAACTAATTACGGGTGATAAATTGGATGTTCATGGTTTCCAAACATAAGCAATTTGTAATCCTGATGGAACATGTAACAACACCGAAGTTTCTTTTCATCTGAAAAAATATATTTAATAATAAATAGTAGGGCATCGTGACACATTACAATTGCTAGGGCAAGCATCAGTGCAGTGCCGGGATGCCAGCCTCCAGGTGGGACCTGGGGATCCCCCGGAATTACAGCTCATCTCCAGATGACAGAGATCAGTTCCCCTGGAGAAAATGGGTGCTTTGGAGGGTGGACTCTATGGCAGTGTATCCCTCTGAGGTCCCTGTCCTCCCCAGGCTCCACCCCCAAATCTCCAGGCATTTCCTAACCTGGACCTGGCAACCCCAGTGCAGTGGGGCAAGCAAGCATCAGTGCAACTGGAGTGCTGGGAGAACCAGGTATGATCTCTCTCCAATCCACTATGCTAGCAAGCCTAAGGATAAAACAAGTCTATTCCTGACAGCTAAAACTAATCTTATGGAGAAAACGGCTTTGCTTGCAGATGCCCTCCTCAACCCAGAAAACAGTAATATCTATATGGGGAAAGGTGGTCTATGGGATCTACTGCAAGGATACAGTAGGTTGCTACTACATTAAGTAGGAAAGAATTTGGCAGTCTGGACATGGCTCCAGTTCTACTCCCCAAGTAGATACGGTGTCAGCCCCTCACCCCAGCGTCACGGTACTGTGAGGAGCTTCCAGGTGCGTTAGAAGCAGGGGGAAATTACCTCCCCCCCCCCCCAAACTGAAAAGCAGGAAGAGTTAAATAAGCTTCCAGGTAACAGAAGAGCTATTTCTAATACAGCATGTATTCCATTTATTTTTCTCCACGTGCACATAAACACTGATACAAAGGGTCAAGTGCCAAGGTACTGAAATCAAGTAAACAACACAAATACATAATGGGGGGAAGTGGAGATTGCAACCGGGAGCAGAGATTTTTTATTCCTGCTAAAACGGGTGCTTCGTTTGCCAAAAAACCTTGAACTTGTTGCCATGGTTGCAGCTGAATTTTGTACCACAAACCACTGAAGAGTCCATTTCTGCTGCCTCAAATAATGGTTCTATAAAAAGACTGGGCGGGGGGGGGTGCGCCGGGGATACTTGATTTTATGATGCTGCTTTAAATAAGATATTTTAACTGACTGCAGGCTGTCTTAAAATAGAACTATTGTCATTTTTCAGCATCTGAAGTTCGTGAGCTCCCGTTATGACACTGAACAAGTCACAGTGCTTCTCGTTAAAATGGCCCCTCATACGTCTTTAAGCATTAAGCACAGCACAATAAACCTCAGTACGGGGGGGGGGGATACATGTTCTATTGCCATAAGCAGCTACCATCTATTCCTCTCCAGAGTTTGACTGATGCTGCTTGGGAACAAACCCTAGCTGGGAGAAAATGAGCCTGTCTATTGAGTTCCTAGCAGTCAGTGGTTGCCCTAGTTGTCAAGGAAATGCTACGCCCAAATCTCCCTCATGGATGAAGGGAGCTCTGACTCTTGGACGCCTACACCCCCAAAATCTTGTTGGTCTCTAGGGTGCTACTGGAGCCAAATCTAGCTCTTCTACAGGCGGGCCCACAAGGCTATCCTCTGAAACTATCTTCACGGGCACACTAGTTTTATATGTGCTGAGAGGTGTTTTTTTTTTAACCTATGCAGGCATTTGAACAGCCTACAGCCACTGGCACATTCTATTCCCATCGTTGGTAAAGAATTAATACAGGGCCTTCTGTTTGAAAGGGGTTAGTGGGGAACATGCTTACGGTGACAATCAATGAACAATAAATGGCATAAGAATAAAAAGGAAATGGTGACCAAGGCCTTTGGTTCAAGGTCTAACGTTGCATTTCAAGCGAAGTCCTTCCACCTCCTTCAGGGCCTGCAACACTGCTGGTGGGTTCCAAACAGCAGTAAAGACCCAAGAGGCTACACCAGACCTCCTGTGCTGCAGAGGGCCAGGAGAGAGTTACGCCAACGTGCTGCTTTGGTGACCTTCTTATTGTGTTGCCCTAAGCAGCGGCTTGGCTGACTTGGCCAAAGAGTCGGCCGTAATCACAACAGCAGCATACAAAAATCAAACACTGAAAAGGGGCATATTCGTACATCCATAACCCCAGGGGATGTGAACCAATTGGGGCTATTTAGTGGTGTGATAAAAAGCACCCTATCTTCCCTTCACACATTCCATTGGTACTGAAGACAGCTCAAAAGATTTAAAGGTCACAGAAGAGATTCATACTGGGTGTTAAAAAGAAAAAAAGAGATTGAAAGGCTGATTCTGAGCAGCATCCCTCAAATTGCCTCAGTGACAAATGTGGCACGGAGACTGGAGGGAGGGGAAAGTTCCTTTGGATTACAGAGCTAATTTAACATTTCTTATGTATTCTGCCTACAGTGTGTAACTAAGGTCCCCCCCAGTTTATTTCCAAGAAGCCCTTTCTCAGTGGTTACCTGAAACCAATCAACAATGAGTTCTAAAAATCAATGGAACAAAGCAACATGATCTATGAGTCCTAGTAGAATAAATGGATTCTCTTTAGAGTTTTTAAAAAGGCAGGCATGTCAAGGTACAATTTCTGATTGTTACCAGTGTGGATCCAAAGGTATCCTTTTTGCATGCAGGCAGTAGCCTCCACTTGCAAAAGAGCACTTTTGCATCTCACACTAGAGAGTTGCATGAGAAAGATGAAAATCCAAAGACGATGTTGACTTTCTACTTGGGTGAGAAGTTCTCCAGCAGTTAGTATGAAATGTTTGCACATTCAGAAACCTAAGAATTCCTATCTACCCTGTTTCAAAAAGCCCTGCATGACCTCCTGCACAAGCTCTTGCACTACGGCGCTATACTCTGTTCTGCCATTGATTCTTTCGATCCAATGCACAGTTGCCACATTATTCTTCCATCTGATGTCAAATTGGCTTTGTGTTTGGTTTCCCATCACACAAGTCATGCATTCTACCTGTGTGTTCTAGGCCTCTGGTTCAAGGATGCTGTTCTTCCTGGACTGTGCTGGCTCCCGAGTCTTGCAGGACTGGTCATGTAATCGTTAGGGACTGTTGGCGGCTTAACTGGCTCCAACGTCTTGTAAGGAGTGTTCCGCCTGGTGAAAAGCACAAAAGAAGGGGGAGGGGAAGACTTAATTTTCCATAGTAACATACCAGCGGTGCAGTTTAGTGTATGCAATCTTATAGTTTTCTTTCACCACAGCATGCCAGAAGGAGTTATTGGCCCCCAATTATCATATCCCAGCACTGGAATAAGCACACTCCTCTCCACACAACAAGTTGGGTTAGTTTTAAGGTGCCACAATACAGGTCAGCATCTTTCTTTCTGTTGCCTCTTCTACCTGTCATACACTGAATGAACGCTTCTCAGAAGCACAGAAGATTTTACAAGTTCAACAGAAGATGTCTTGTAAGACCTTAAACAGCAAGCAGACACACAAGACCCAATAAATCAAGACCGGCAGTGTTTTTTCCAGTTGAATTCTGTACCGCAATTGTAACTGTTTACTAAGCCACTAAAAGCAGTATCATAAAGTCCTAATTTCATTCTGTAAAAGAAAATGTCCCAGTAGGGCAGTACTTCATTTTCAGCCATCTCATAAAGTCAGGGAAGTCCATAATTGTGTTCAGAAATTATGGGTTTGCACAAGTCATGCAGAAAGAAACACAAATTTAAAATATGACTTTGTAGTGCTGAATATGCTACATGAATTTACACATCTAAACGGTAAAGGAGGACCAGACATAAATATGATAGATTTCAAGATAAATGACAAGAACATTTTAAATCTGTAGAACTGCAGCAAAATATATTCATGATGTTACAAGAAATGCAAATATTCATAAGGGTATTTTAACATCCTCGACCTGGAACTGTACAGCCGGCCATAGCTCAACATGCATAAAATATATCGTCGACAGAAATCCAGTAGCCAACTAAGTAACAAATGCCGCTACATCCTGGGATATTTGGGGTTCAGATTTCATATAAAGTGGCTGCTTCAAATACATCCAGCTGTAAATGAGTTCTTGCAGCTACCACAAATGTCCAGTTTGGACAATCCTCCAAACAGTGGTTTCAGAAGGAATCGGGGACTGTTTGCATACTTCTTCCTTCCAAACCTCTTTATAGATTATTCTAATGATAGTTTACCTTGATGTAAGGATTGCGTAATTCTGGTTGCCACTAACCTCCCAACAGACTTCCCATCAGGGTTTGGAGATGAGTGCCAAGCATCAGGCTGGACCCCCCCCCCAAAAAAATCCTTCAGCGTAAGGACTGAGACCGTTTCCTATCCCTGCCACCAGTCTCACCCAGTCCCTGAAAAGTTGATTCCTGGGGTTATAAGTAAAGGTAAAGGTTCCCTTGCTCGAAAGCCAGTCGAATCCGACTCTAGGGTTGCAGTGCTCATCTCCGTTTCAAAGCCGAAGAGCCAGCGCTGTCCGAAGACGTTTCCGTGGTCATGTGGCCGGCATGACTAAACACCAAGGCGCACGGAACGCTGTTACCTTCCCACCGAAGTGGTCCCTATTTATCTACTTGCAATTTCTTGCTTTCGAACTGCTAGGTTGGCAGGAGCTGGAACTAGAGACAGGAGCTCACCCTGTCTTGCGGCACCCGGATCTTGAACTGCCAAACTACTGACCTTCCCCAGCCTGCAGTTCAGCGTCTTTAACCACTTGCTAAACTCATCAGCTCAAGCATTGCAGAAGAAAGGAGAAAAGGGTGAAATTGTCCTCTTTTCTATTCACTGTCAAAAGAGGCAGGAAAGGTGACTTCACCTCCCGTCCCCCCCTCCACGATAGCCTCCAAAGGCAACGCATAGCTCTTATGACTCAAGGAATCCATTTTCTTAGGGCTGAACAGAGGGAGGAAAACACGGGAACCATCTGCTCCCATCAGTACTTCTCACTGACCTATTGTGGGGATCCAACCCACAGTTGCCTGCAATATTCCAACCTCAAAGCAAATTGTGGTTAAAGAAAGCCAGAAGATAGAGAACTATATAAGTGTGTAAGGGGGAAAGGAGAGAAAGATAAATAAAAGAAGCACACAAAATCCTGTGGTGCGAACTACAGCTGCGAGAATCCCAGAACATGCCATCGGAACACCCAAGACCAATCCCACACTGACATTTTTGTCACTCGTTTGTCCCTATTGCTTCAGGGTATTCCCCCCCCCCCAAAAAAAAGTGTTTTGCTCTCTCTAGTAGTCCCAGAGGGAGCAAAACACATGTGGAAAGGGGGGGGGACGGGACCCCCAAAGCAATAGGGAAAAATGAGTGACAAAAATGTCAGTGCGGAATTGGTCCAAGTGTCAAAGCATGTCTAGGAAAAACAGCTCATCATATGGAGGTATACTAAACTTTACCACTTCAGAACAACGTTCGAGTCCAGTGGCCCCTTTAAGACCGACAAAGTTTTATTCAAGGTGTGAGCTTTCGTGTGCACGCACACTTCCTCAGATACAGTGAAATGGAATTACAGATCAGGCGTGTATACACACAGAGTAGCTTGTTAAATTAGCGTGCAAAATAGTGAAGATGCTAATTTAATAAGCCACCCTGTATACATACAAGTTCCTGCCAACCTAGCAGTTCGAAAGCAAGAAATTGCAAGTAGATAAATAGGGACCACTTCGGTGGGAAGGTAACAGCGTTCCGTGCGCCTTGGGGTTTAGTCATGCCGGCCACATGACCATGGAGAAGTCTTCGGACAGCGCTGGCTCTTCGGCTTTGAAACGGAGATGAGCACCGCAACCCTAGAGTCGGATTCGACTGGCTTTCGAGCAAGGGAACCTTTACCTTTACCTTTTATACATACAAGTATGATCTGTAATTCCATTTCATTGTCTGACAAAGTGTGCGAGCGCATGAAAGCTCGCACCTTGAATAAAACTTTGTTGGCCTTAAAGGTGCCCCTGGACTCAAACGTTGTTTTATTGCTTCAGACCAACACGGCTGCACTACCTTGATGAACCACTTCAGGTGGTGATGGGCTCAGGTGACCGAATGATCCTTACCACTCAAAAAGCCTATATTTAGAAAATGAACATGTGGACCTATACTTAGAAAGTTAGCATGTGGAGAGAAGGCTACAATAACTGGAAGCCTGTTCCTCAGTACCTAGTTTCCTATGTTAGGTGGCTGTGTTTTTTAATACAGAACGTCCAAAATCAACAACTACCTGAAAAATGTAAGTTCTTTATCTTCTTGAGAAATCGTAAGCTTTGATTCCTCAAGCCATTTTGCAAATCAAACTCATGATAAGCCATCCTTCCTTAACCAAGGAGACCTCAGTCAAGGAACAGTGGGTGGCTTACCTGTAGGGTCATATGTGCAGTTCTACACATGTACCTCTTGTAGGGTATGTAACTCTGGAAGCAAGACTATCTGGGAGAGAAAGAGTTAAGAGAATTTTCTCACTCAGGTACACTTGGCAGTTGCCCCACCCTCTCATCGGTTAGATGTTGAGCTGTCATTGGCTGTTCCTCACTTTCTGTTTTCACCTTTTATAGGACCTCTCTTCTTATCTCTCTTACATGGGCTTGGAGCTGTAGTGACTTAAATTTTTGTAAGTAAAATTTCTCTCTCTTGCTACCATTGAGTCAGATCATCTTTGTAATTTTTTTGAACTGCATTTTCCCTTAACCAGGAAACGTGGAGGACTGGGGACACTGTGTAAAAGCTTCTGTGCTTCCAAGGCAAATGGTTCGTTTTTTTGATCACCCAATACATCTTTGAGGGGATTTTACTCAATTCTTCCAACCACTCTATCCGCTGAATTCTATCTGAACACTACTTCTGTTTTGAATGTGCCTTCCTCCTCTTCAACCATAATCCCATCACATCAGGCTAGCCCCAAGCCTGTACTCAGTAGGCTATATGTTTACAACACTCACTCCACAATGAAGCATATCATATGATGTCCAAGTCATTGCATTCATCTTGGAGAGGGAAATGTAGGACCTATTCCACATGCATCTCCTTTCTGTGGCCTCTACTGATGTATTTTATCACTTGACTGACCCCCCAACTGGCATGCTCATGTAGGGTCACCCTTCCAAGACATCAAGACCAGGACAGAAGAGACTGCAAGCCAAATTTGGGCTTCAGCTGTTGGAAAGGACACCCATTCCAGACTCCATGTAGACCATAATATGAGTCCAGCCCATGCTGACAAAGTCATTCTGTTGAGAAGAAGAAAGATCCCCGCAATCCCAGCTGGAATATTTGTATACTCTGGTCTCACAATCCTGACACCTTGACCTCTTGAACCCTCTACTGAGTCTCATTCTTTTTTCTTCTTTTTTCTTTAGTGCGTATTTGTGGATATGTGTGTGTGTGTGTGTGTGCGCGCACCTGGATGTCATGGTTGACTTCTGGTGACCTCTAGTGGGGCTTGGACATTTCAGAAAAGTGCCTTGCTACTGCCTGCCTCTGCATCTGAACCCTGGTATTCCGTGGAGGATTTATACCCCACCCTTCACTACCCAAAGGTGTCTCAGAGCGGCTTACAAACTCCTTTCCCTTCCCCTCCCCACAACAGACACCCAGTGAGGTAGGTGGGGCTTAGAGAGCTCTTGACAGAAACTGCTCTTTTTCAAGTATAGCTCTTATCAGAACTATGGCTTGCCCAAGGTCATCCAGCCAGGTGCAAGTGGAGGAGTGGGGAATCAAACCTGGTTCTCCCAGATTAGAGTCCACACACTTAACCACTACACCAAACTGGCTCTACACCAAACATGGTTTATTAAATGATACCAGTATAATACTTGCTGGTAACACCACCACACAGGAAAAATCTAGACATTTCACAGAACATTTGTCCAGTCCATTAAAGCTGGAGTAGTCAGTGACAGTCTCATGTAGATGGGTGCTGGTTTTTCTACAGAGGTCCCTGAAATGAGTTGGCTTTGTCTACCCTTGCATAATGAGCAAGAGTGAGCCAAGCTTTGGCCCAACGAACATATTTTAGACAATTTTTATTCATTCTCTGCCTTCCAATGCAATTAAGGCTAACTTTATCATCACCTACCTCCAGAGGTGTCACAAGTTCTACTTTTCAGCAGTAGAATGCAGTAAAATAATTAGTCCTTCCAAACCTTTCCAAGCTAAACGCAGTTCATTGGCATCCTGTTGGATTTATGAGTCTTGCACTCCTTTTTCCAGTACTCAGCAACTGCTATATCTTTCAGCTCACTGCAGGATTTATGCACTCAACCCATATTTTCTTCCAACTTCTGTTCCATAAAATGCCTTCTACACCAGTGATTACTTTCTACACCAGGACTGGCAGCTCCCTTAGAGCTCACCCCACCCTGCAATCAAGCCAGTAATGTTTTCTAGTCTGTGGGCTTCTCATTTAACAGTTCCTAGTTCAAAGAAACTGTTATGTCACCTTAAATTATTGAGACGTGTTTAAACTTTTGCACAGAAGGTACCATTTACCAAGCATATTGTGCAAAGCTGGACATCAACATTTCTCCTTTGCTTTATTTAACACTGCAGTCCAAAATCAGCCATGTATTGGGAATCACTATAGGAGTCAGCTCTCACTGAACAGCTGTCTCTTAAATATTAAATGCATTTGGATGTTTCACAAGTCAACACATAATGTCAGGCACTGTGGATTCTCTTCCTTCCACCTAGCCTTTTGAGAGTCATAATCTGGCTTTACATGTTTCCCAACGAGATCAGAACCTTATGGTGAGTGCCATTAGCAGAATGTTGTACATCTCTAGCTATGTGCCTTTCTGCCATGCACATAAGCACCAGTCATTTGTCCACGTTAAATCTCAAATCCAGATGTGACAAGAAACAGAGGTTTTATTGTGACAGGCTTGCTGCTGTGCTTGCTCCTTCCTCATCTCCCTTTGGGCACTGAGAATGAGAGAAAGTTACCAGGTTTGAAAAACCTGGAATCAAACTCTAGTTTGCCACGGCATCCAAAATACAAGCACCTGAGCAAACTGGAGTTTGTTTCCTTCTGCAAGCCAGGATTCTAAACTGGAATTAAACTAAGGTTTAGAGTCCTGGTTTGCATGCAGAAAGCAATCTTCAGTTTGCCCAGGAAAATCACAGGAAAGAGGAACCTGATTCAATGCACACACCCAGAAGCATTCAATTGTGTACTTTTTTGGAAGGAGGGGTAAGAGGAAAGCACAGGCATATGGCAACGAGCTGTGTTTATGTCCATCCAATTCAGTCTGCCACAACATCTGAATGCAATCAAACACTTGGTATAGACCCAGACTAAATGGGCAATCCCCCTCATGGATCACTGCCTTGTCGTGGCGAGGGGGCTTGAGCGGTTCAATGAAGCTGTGGGCTATGCCGTGAAGGGCCACCCAAGACGGACAGGCCACAGCAGAGACCAAGAGTGATCCCCCTGGAGAAGGAAATGGCAACCCACTCCAGTACTTTTGCCAAGAAAACCCCATGGAAAGTACCAAAAGGCTAAAAGATATGACGCCGGAAGATGAGCCCCTCAGGTTGGAAGGTGTCCAATATGCTATTGAGGAAGAGCAGAGGGCAAGTACAAGTAACCCCAGAAAGAGTGAAGCGGCTGGGCCAAAGCCGAAAGGACGCTCAGTTGTGGATGTGTCTGATGGTGAAAGGAAAGTCCGATGCTGCAAAGAACAATACTACATAGGAACCTGGAATGTAAGATCTATGAATCAAGGTAAGCTTGACGTGGTCAAAAATGAGATGGCAAGACTTAACATCGATATCTTAGGAATCAGTGAACTTAAGTGGACAGGAATGGGCGAATTTAACTCAGAAGACCATTATATCTACTACTGTGGCCAGGAATCTCGTAGAAAAAATGGTGTGGCCTTTATAGTCAACAAGAGAGTGCAAAAGTCATTACTGGGATACAATCTCAAAAATGACAGAATGATTTCTGTCCGATTCCAAGGCAAACCATTCAACATCACAGTAATCCAAGTCTATGCCCCAACCACTGATGCAGAAGAGGCTGAAGTGGACCGGTTCTATGAAGACCTAGATTGAAGGTCAAAGAAGACGGGGACGGCAAAGGATGAGATGGTTAGACAGTGTAATTGATGCAACGAACATGAAATTGAGCCAACTTCAGAGGACGGCGGAAGACAGGAGGGCCTGGCGGGAGATGATCCATGGGGTCGCGAAGAGTCGGACTCGACTGTGCGACTGAACAAAAAAATGGGCAATTTCCACCAATTCCCCTTTCCTTCTGCAGCTCCAACCTCATCATGTCCCCTGACCCCCAAGTTCAGCATGTCTTGGAGGTCAGTAGCCTGGAGTGGGGCGGCAGGAAAATTTTGTTGCACTGATGCAAAATTTAGCCTGGATCCAAACCCTTATCTTCAGCTGTAGTTTCTCTCAGCCTCCATGAACTCAAGCCCATGAGACCCACATCTTTGACATGAGTCTACAGAGAGTCTCATCTACAGTGGAGGCATCTTGCCAAGATTTATAGATTCTGGCAAATGGATACTAAAGAGTTTAGAATCATTCTTTCACCTTACCTCTCTTGGCCAGCAATATGGTCTTGAATATAATGAACCTAGATGATAGGAATGTGCCTTCCAGAGCAATTAAGCCTAACTTCCGTTCCCAGGTGTTCCTGCTGTTGTTTGCAGAGTTCCTGCTCAGGCGAATGGACATGGAAACCCAGCCACCACTTGCCTTCCTGAAGCAGTGAATTACAACCACTGCTCTGGCAACCTGTGACCCCACTCCACCTGAAGGAGTTTTTTCAACTCCTTACTAGAGGATCCCAACTCACCATCTTGAGAAACTAAGCACTAAGAGACAGCAGTAGAATAGTATCATCTAGCCTAATGCTGCTCCTGACCAATACAACATAATGTACTTGCTTGTAATCAAGGTCTAATTCTTCTTGCCGAAGGCTCTAACGTGCTACCGTATCTTCCAACCCCATCTTTTTTGAGCCTCTGCAACAGAGAGGGGGCCCCTAGGAACCAAATTTCAATGGTCATTCCAGGCTGCTGTGGGAGGGGAGAGGCATGAAAATCAATCTTCCAGAGCAGAAATCCTTGTGCCTGTGGAACAGTTGCGGCTTTCACCTTTGACTGGAACACAAAGCAAGAAAGCAGATTCCTCATCTAGGCTGCAGACTTGAAGAGCACTTAGATGATCCCATTGAAATAAATTGCATTAATTGAAATAACATTTTTATATTAAAACACAACTTTAGAAAGGCACTAGGGGTAAAAAAAAGCAGACACTATTTCTAGGGCAATATTGGCATGTGCAATGAAAGACAATGTTCTTTGTCAACGCAAAATCAGAAGCTGTTGTCTTATTCTTACCCCAGAGTTCCCCGGCCCGACATAGGAGGACTTGGTGGTTTCTGTGTAGGTGGATTTGTTCTTGACAAAGTGCCAGTTCTTGCAGGCTGACTGTTTCCATGCTGAAAGCCAGAATAATGATTTATTTATTTTTCTGTGCTGAAATGACTCAAATAGTAAGTGCAGTATTTGAATACGCTTCTTCCCAGTGACAATTCCCAGACAGCTGTTAAACCACAGCTTCTTTTTTACTGCGTACTGGATTAAAACACAAAAAGAAAAATCCATGTCTAAGCACGGTGAATGGAAACTAAGCTAAGCGTAAAAAATGGCTCGTGAAAAAAATCTGATTTCAGTGAATCTGTCGGATCCACTGAATTTATTCTGAATCGAAGATTTACTAATGCATTTAGTCCAGCTATCTGATTAGCAAAGGCATGCAAGTGTTTCTGGAGAACCTTTGTCTACAATGCAAGTCAGTAAGGGGAGGGGGGGGAAAGCATCTAAGCCAAGCGCTATGTGTGTTAGGCAAAATTAACATTATGTATGGATTTAAAAAATGCATCTGTCAATATATCTGTGATATATCAACTAACAGGTGGGAGCCGAAGTTCAGTACATCTAAACACAACCTACGGAAAAACAAAGAGCAGAGAGAAGTACAGGAGAGAACTAGCTTCCAGGTGTAACGGTTCAACAGCCTCTACTGTCAATGGGGCATTGTGGGTCAAGTGAGAAATAACTCCTCTTACCTTGGCTTTTAGCCACTTACGTTGGCAAAAAGAAAAAGGAGGAAGAAAAGCAGAAATTAATGGCAAATCTAATTATTATTAATATTATTCATATGGCAGGTTTAAACAAGAATACAGTATTTGCAACCACTTTCCTCATCAGTGCAACTGGTATTTGCAGTCCAGGTACAAAAAAAATAGCCCTCACTTGCAACCACAGAGAAAGAAGAATTTATTTTCCACGAAGGAGGCATCTTCGCCTTAATTCAGCATTTTTTAAAAAAATAGAGCAATGGCTGCAGCAATGGTGACCATCATAACCATTGCTTAACCTGCATATTTATATAGGCTGCAAATGTTTGTTTGTTTGTTTTGGGGGGAGACCCCTGCTTAAGAAAGGGAAGGGTACATGAGATCTCAAAGAAATAAACTTGCCTCTCAAATCTTTGATCGGCATTGCATTATTTTTGGGTGTCCTTTTCCCCAGCAGCCATTACAGCAGAGATGACTGTTGGCTTTTGTCAGCTGCGTGTACACTAACATCTCTCCACACAGGGCTGCATGCAGGAATTTGATCGCATGCACCCGTTCCGTACCTTGTCACTTTTGTGACATGGGCAGCTGCCTGAACACAGAGTCAACCCCATACTGCCTATTCTGACAGGCAGCACTTTTCTACAGCATGAGTCTGAAAACCCTCCCAGACCTTTTTGCTACAAAAAATAAATCCATTTTGATTTGTCAAACCTGGAAGTGCCAGGGATGAGACCTGGGGCTTTTTATACAGAAAGCATGCACTCTACAACCATGCCCTCCACAATTCCATATGTCTAATCGCCACTGCTTCCAAAACTAGGAACGATCAACAGATACAAATAGCTTTTTACACATTTGCATAAACAGTCTTGGAGAAATTCTTTATTATTCAGCTCTAAATTCCACTATCTGATTTTTAAAAACTCCATTTCAGTTGCTTAGACAAAGACAGAGAATCTTCCAAAAGATGGGTGCTGCATTTGTTACTAGCACAATCCACTTTTTTGGAAGGAACTACATTTCCCCTAATCTACATGTAGGTGGCATGCTGTTTCCTACATAGAAGCACGCTCTGCATAGCAACATTTCACTTTTGAATGTGACCTGAGATAATTAAAAAAAAAATTCTTAGTTTTATATACATCTGCATCTTGACTATTGATTATGGAGTTCCTTTTGTAGTACGGGGCTCTCTCACTGGAACCCATCTGCAATGCCCCTCTCCCCAAAAATCCATTTTTGAAGGATGTGGCATGGGGTTGTAGTATATAAAGCAAGAACTGAAACTGGTGGACTGGTGAACATCAGGGACTTCCAAAGAGTATTATTATGGCTTTAATCCTTTGCATAAGAAAATGTACCAGCTGCTAGCACTGAGATGCTTTTGGACCACCAGCATCATACTTTCCCTGTAAGGCTGATGCACTTCAACTTTTAGTTCTCAGGAACCCCCTTAAGGGAGGATCAGTATTATTTCCATCCTCTAGATCAGGAACATGGCATTGAAAGAACAGTGGCTTCAAAAGGGCTGTACAGTAAATTCAAGATGGAAGCTGAACTAAAGAATCCCAATCTCTCTCTCTTAGATTCTACACTAGCTCCCAAGAAGAAGTTGTGCCACTTAACCTCTCTCTGCAGCTTGGAGACCTAGAAAACCCCATTTTTAAAAAATGGAAACATTCACTTCAGTACTTCTATATGTAGTTGACTAGCTTCCAAATAGTATACATCTTAACATTCCAAATCTCACTTTGGCTTAGCAAAATTATTAGACCTGGAGTCAAGGCAAAAAAAAGTTGGTATTGTATGAGTTCAATCAAACAAGAGAATCCCCCTGTATTAAGCACAAATTCAGCACACACAGCAAGTGGGACACAATGAGGAAAGCATTTTGTTTTTTAAAAAAATATCATGAAAGGATCATTGATGTTCATTCTTTCCTCCTCTTGGAGAACTATAAAACTGATCACCATTTACTCTACCAGATTCCCAATAAGATACGGTTACTTTTATAAGGAACCGAAATCTTTTCAATAAACTTTGTGTACATCAGTGATTTCTTACCAAAAAAGCAGAACAGGAACATTGTACATTTGAAGAGAAATGAATATTTTGTTTTGGGCTTTCTTTAATGCTAAATCAAACATATAGAGCTGTCATTTGGTAGACTTTATGAAATGCAATTGCAAAACTGCCTGCTTGAACAAGCCTTTGAAAAAGTTTCAAAGATATTTAAATGCATTAAAACGGGAACATATTCATTTATCTAGTAAATTTTTATCCCACGGTTCCTTCAAGGAGCTCAAAGTGGTGTATATCATTTGCTCCGCTTCCATTTTATCTTCAGAACAGCCACCTTGTAAGACAGGTTAGATTGAGAAAGATAAAAAATAAGGCCAAGGCCAATGGTGCAAAATTAGGTAAAATTATATTATTACTCAGTTAAAATTCCCCCAAAAAAATTCTTAGATGTTTCGCCAACAGGCTTCATCAGGGAATCTGCTCGTCTTGCAGTAGGTTCTTCAAAAAGAGTACCTGATTTTGTACCATCGGCCTTGACATTATTTTTTATCTCGGGTGACTGGTACAGCCCTTTTATTTTCTTCTAGGTTGAGAAAGAACCCATCCCCAGGTCACTCCACTTAGCTTCATGGTAGAGTGGGAATTTTAATCAGGGTCTCCCAGATCCTAGCTAACACTCCAACTGCTATACAATACTGTTTCTTAAAAATACCTTCCTGGGAGTAAGTCCCACTGATAGCCTTGCCAGGCCTCTTCGAGCTGCTGGCGGGGGATGGGGGGTGCAAGTACCACCAGGAGCAAAGAGGAACGCTGGAAATTAATGTGATGTGCCTACATGACCCAAAAGTGACGTAGGCATGTCGGGAATATGGGGAGGACGCTCTTGCTTTAGGGCAAAAGCTCTGTGGTAGAACTCTCTTCTACCATAGATTCTTGCCCAAAAAACAGAGTGTCACCCCATAAAGTCCCCACGTCACTTCTAGGTCACGTAGATACATCACATTAATTTCCAGTGTTCCTCCCTGTTGGGGGGGTAATTCTAGTGGAGGAGAGGTGGGGCCTGAAAGCAGGGGGACCCCCGTTCCCACCGGGGGGTCTGGCATCCCTACCCACTGAGTATAATGTGCCAGTTTTTTTAACTAGGCCTTTTTAGGGCTGTTCTCCAAGTGTTGCATACACTGGTCAAGTTACTCTTTTAAGCGAAGTGTAACTGGTTCCCTCCAATTTTGCCTAACTGAATTTGGTCCCTGTTTACTACAGTCTTTAGCAAATGAGATAGTGAATATGCACTAATGCCAACGGCCAATGACAGAATATCCGAATACCAACTAGCTAACAAAGTAGTGTTTGAAATCATTTTTATTTTATAGATAGGACCTTCTCTCACAAGGAGGACAGAAAACATTACTATGCTGAAAAATTGAACTCAGGCAAGCATTCTGTTTTTTAAAAGAACGTGGAATGAAACCACTGCCAACTTGATAAACTATTTCATAACTCAGCAATGGACCATCTTTCTGTAGTTTCTCTTACTGCTGCCACCAGAGCTTAAATGGTTGCTGAGGGAACAGGTTTTCTACAATGTGGGACCTGCCTTGTAGGATTTCATAGGGTTCAGTTTTGTCTCCCATACTATTCAATCTCTATGTGACGCCTTTGGGAGAAATCATTTGTGGTTTCGATAAAGGGTACTATACATATGCTGACAATATGAGTTCTATATTTCTTTTATCTAAATTGCCTGGTGATACTATAGTCTCTGAACCAATGCCTGACCGCTGTAGTTGAATGGCTAAGGGTAAACAAGCTGAAACTGAATTCTGACAAGGCGGAAGTAATGTTGATTGGGAAGGCCAAGGCCTCAAAGAACATGGAGCTCTCCACTACTGATGGGGCCCAATTGTCTCTCACAGACTTGTTTAAGACCCTAAGGATGATTCTGAGTCCAGATTTATTGGTGGAGAAGCAAGCTGGTGCAGCTGCAAAAAAGGTGTTCTACCAACTTCACATCTTGGAAGATGGCCCCCTGCCTTGATTTGGCTGACTTGGCCACATGGATCCGTGCAATGGTTTCCTCGAGGCTAGACTACTATAATGCACTCTACATGGGTCTTCCCTTAAACATAACTCAGAAACTCCAGTTGACAATGAACACCACAGCCTGGCTACTATTAGGTACTAACTAGATTCTGCATATTATTCCCACTCTGCAGGCACTCCATTGGTTGCCGATCAGGTACTAAGCTCAATTCATGGTTCTAACTGTCATCTACAAAGCCCCTCACAACACTGGATTCATGTACTGCCTCTCCTATTATGTTCCACTGTGACAGCTTCAATTATCAGAGCAAAGCCTTCTGAAGGTGCCACCCTGCAAACAGGCAAATTGGCAACTGCCCATTCACACACATTCTCTGTGGCAGCTCCCATACTGTGGAACTGTCTGCCTAAGGCTATTAGGAAGGCCCCCACACTTCTGTCATTTCACAAAATATGCAAAAATAATTGTTCAGGAGGACATTCTTATTGAGTCGTACAGCTAAGATGCAACAGATCAGATTGGGAGGCAATCTCCAATTCTTCAATCCCTGCCCCACTGGCATCATGTTATTTTACTTTTTATTTTATGTTACTTTGCTGTTCGATTCAAATACTGTTATAATTCAAATGTTATCATATTTTGCCATCAGCTTATTATGACTGAAAGTCCTATCAGTCATCCGCTGTGAGAAAGGAGGACTATGAATGAAAATAAACAAATAGACATCCTCTCTCCTCTGTAAAAGCTCAACATAGCTTTATCTACACGGTGTTATATGGAAAAAAGAAGACTCCGATGTCCAGTCAGCTAGCGGACAGGGACGCCTTCATTTAGACACCTGTACAGAAATCTACTATAATGGAGGCCCTTTCTGTCACTATTGTTAGATGATTAGCAAAAGCCTCCCAGCAGACCTTTGGAGACTACGGGATTTAATTCATGTGCTATGCTAAGTGCATTCTGTTTTGGACAACTGTCTTGGGACACAACAAGATGAACAGCAGAGAGCTTTCCTGTCTCTTCCAGATTCTCACCTGAATAACCAGGGTCCAAGTTATTCACAAAATGGACACCTGAAATCTTAACACATGACACTGGAAGTAGCCCCAGAAAGAAGGGCTCTGTTTGTCACTAATTTCTCAGCAGGCCAATTAACCAAAGCTCTAGCTGATCAAGTCCTCCAAAACAAAGCACTGCAGACATGACTGCTCAGAGTCAAGGATTCCTTTAGGTCCGCCTCTCATGCTCAGATATCTATGACTCTATTTGCTTTTTTCTTAAAAGTTATCTTAAAAGGTTTGGTAGAAAGTCAAGGGGAGGGTAATGCTTCCATGGCATTATTTGGAAACCAGAATGCATCTGACAGCTAGAAAGCAGTAACTTTTCAAAGCCAGTAATTGCTTTAAAAGCATCACTCTGATTGAATCCTTCATCAAGACAACGTGTTTCTGAGAGTTACACATAGCTCTAAGCCATAGGTTGTCTAACTGTGAGGTGAGTGTCCCTTATAGTACTGATAAAAAGGATTAGCATGGGTGGAAACCTGCCAAGACCCAAAGATTAGCAGAAAGCCCAATGACACCCAAAAAGTATTTGGTCCACCCGCTACCACCAAGAATAAGAGCCCAGTCCAGAGGCCCCTTAAGATATCAGGGCCTCTGGGGTGATCTTCTATTCTCCCTGCCCTTGTCTTCCTCAAGAGGATGACAACGAGAGCCCACTGAGCATAAAACAATGGAGAGGGATTTTTATAGCAGCATTTCAAACTGCAGCTCAGGTCTCTCTCCAGCAGTCCACAGAAGAAACTCAAGTGGGGTATGGTGCTGGGATGACACAGCAAAACGACAGCTGGAACAACAGGGTTCTACAGACTTGAGGAAAGCAAGTGGCACAGGTAAATTTCAGGATCAGACGATACTTGCAGCTTCTAGAGCAGTCACAGAAGCACACAAACAAGCTCCAGGCCTTTTTCGAACTGGCTTCGAGTCACCATACCACCAATTTAAAATGTATAACATTAAAACAGTCCACTATTAGTACTGCCATTGCTGTGCTCCCATTTGAAAGCAGCAAGCTACACAATCCCTAGCTTGTTACACACACACACACACCTCCAAAATGTCCACAAAACTAAGATTACAGCTGTTTTTGTTCTCCTTCTCTGGACCCTTCAAAATATGGACCCACATAAGAGTGTAAGCATGCACAAATGCACATATGTATGTGCAGTATGGGGAGCACTACTATTGGAAGACTTTACAGCCCCACCCCGTGCTTGTTAGTTCAGTATTTATATCCCACCAGGTTCAATGGACCATATGCCATATTACATTTGTTCAGAAATGCAAATAATTTTGACCTAATATATATCTTCTCTGTGTGTGTAGCTGGGATATTAACACTTGTGCATGAGATCTCTGTTCATGCCAAAGAAATGTTAGCTGCACTGGTATTATGGAATCAGCTCCCAAATGAAATTTGAGCTCTACGGGATCTTCAACAATTCCGTAGAGCGGTAAAGCCCGAGCTGTTCCGGCAAGCGTTTCAATAGTCTGACCACACTGACCGTTCCACATAACTACTTGCACTTTATAACAGATGGCCGCCATATCTTAATCTTAAATTTAATAAGTTGTATTTTGATATTTTATCGATTGTATTGTTTTAGACTTGATATTCTATTAATTGTATACTGGTTTTTAACTACTGTAAACTGCCCTGAGCCACTTTGGCGGGAGGGTGGGGTAAAGGTCTAACAAATAAATAATAAATAAATAAATAAATTATCAGCATGTCAGAGGGGACCTACAAAAGGTGAAATAAGTTCATACAGAGGCAGGACATATGTTTGAGGAACAAGACACTGACCATGACACAAAAGCAGCCAATTATTGCAGAGAAATTTATTTCACAAGGAATAATACAAATTTCAGGTACTGTTTGCTACTGCAAATAATTGGGGATGGGGAAAACTTGACTCCTTACCTTTACACCATGGCCCACATCATCCAACACTGTGTAGTCTATAGGCTTTCGAATATACCTTACAGGACGCTCCATGTTTGCTGGTGCAATGATTTTATGAGTTCTGGATGTGTTCTTGTTGGTTGTCAAAATGCCGATCTCTCTACGTGCCACTTTCTCTTTGTGTATGTCCACCGTCTACATTTTTAAAAAAGCAAAATCCACAGGTTTACAAATATCACGATGTAAAGATGTTAAACACTGGACTCAAGCAAGCAGATTTGCAGAATGTCTGTAATACCTTTCAGCAAATTAATTAACATCTGTTTTTCACTGGGCTTTCCTCTCTGTCATCTCCCCTGGCCCTGTTTGATTTAGGTTCTGGGCACTGGGACACCTGGTTTTTTAGTGCTCAGCTGACAGTACTGGGCTTGATCTTTTTTGAAAAGGCAGGTTCTGAATCTAAATGAATCATCAGAAGAGGAACAGTGTGAAGAAAAGTTAGCATACATAAAATATACCCTTGCTCCAAAAATGCTGTATTTATTGGAACAGTCTTGTAACTGGAAGATGGCTAGAATATTCATTTTTATGCTTCCCCAATGCTAACTACACAAATGGAAGCTAGTAAAAGTAAATAAAATTCCACTCACATAACTTCCCAGGGAAGGAAATTTCCTCACCTGGAGTTGTACCAAGGAAGAAGAAAAAAACCCAATGCACATATAGGAATAAATAGAAGTACTTGTCCTAGAAGGACTAATATTCTCACACCAGGAAACCCAAAGTCCACAGTCAGGTTAAACTGTGTACCCCCATAAACCAGAATTCAGAATTTTTGAGTAACTATGGTTGTTGGAGAATATGACAGCAACAGGATGCCTGGAGTATTTAAATATTCTCATCAGAGGAAACAGAATTTAGCAAGCTGTTCTACCACATTCCATCCTTAACTACTCACAAGTTCTGCTCAGATGGCACCTGGTACTTTTGGCCACTGTGTGACAGAGTGTTGGACTGGATGGGCCACTGGCCTGATCCAACATTGGCTTCTCTTATGTTCTTATGACCCCTCTAAAAGTATAGCCCAAGGGTCCCCAAACTGGTTTCCATGGGTGCCATGGGCAGGGCCAGGTAGGGGCCAGGAAGTAGGCGGGGCCAAGAAGGGCTTTTGCACAGCAAGGCTTCTGACTGAATATTGAAGACCTGATTAGTGGTGCAATTTTTTTTTTTAAATGGTGCTTTGGCAATAATTGCCACCACAGCACAAGGATCTACATTATCTTACTGAAGTTACACTGTGGCAATCATTTTGTGGCAGGCTCTGCCCCCTGCGGTAGCCATTTTGTGGCAGTCATTTGTTGCTGTGCCCACCATGCCGTGTCAGGATTCCAAATTTGACTGAAGGCTAAAAAAAGGTTGGGGACCCCTGCTATAGCCTTCTCACGTTATTAGCTGCCTTGCCACAGGAATCTCCTAGACTGTGGGTACACAAACCCATAATTCAAATGTAATGACGAGCATTGAAAATTCTTTGTTTCACTCCCTCCCCACCAGCTCAGGAATCAATCCCTTCCACCTTTGCAAGCTACGATTTGTTATTGCATCCAAGCCAGAACTATCCTGTGTCCTCTTGCCTCCAAATCAGTATTAAAGAGTCAATTCATAGACTATGGGTTGTTTTCAAAAACAGAAGCAATTACTTTTCTGAGCCATGCGCAAGAGGTGGAAAAGGAGGGAATGCATAAGTATTCCCAAGACTTTTTTCTGTAATGACAAGGCATGATTAATGTATGAATCCTACTTAGAGAGATACCATAAAAAGCGAAAGTCCATAAATCTGCTGTAAGCATAGGACATGCCGATGGTAAGCTAAAGGTAAAGTTAACCCAGCAAAACACATGTGGAAATATGTGTTAATCAGTTAGGTTGTCAACAATTTTTTAGAATAATCTAAGCCATCATAAACTTTTATTAATTAAAGTGATAATAAACCTATCATTTTCTGTTTGCCATACCATTAAATAGGATGCATGGTATTTTAAGCAACAACTTAAAAGACAGGAGTGGAAGAAAGAGAAAAGATTAAGGATCTCTGGTTCATTTTGACATCCCCAAAAGGATGAGTAGAATACATGCTCCAGTACTCCATAGTAATTTTTAAGAGAAAGTTTGGATGCGTCAACGATGTGTTTTATCCTCATCTTTGAATAGGAATTACATTTCCAGTCTGCCAATGAACCTCTTCTACCTCTACAAAGCCTTTCTATTAACCTGTGATAGAAAACGCGGGATATTAAATTATATGAAGGTATTGCTTGTGTTTACTCAGAAAGTGCTGGGGATTTAGCAGTATATCTTCCAATTAAAATAGAATAGAGTAAGATAAAAGACTGAAGTCCTGCTCACGGTGAGGCCATCTCCACCACCTTATTTCAAAATGTTGTGTTTTAAATCAGTATGTATTAATGGTTGAGAAAAGTAGCTGATCTAGTTTCAATTACAATGGTTCCTATTGCATTAAGACACAATTTTAGGCTTAGCAACAGTGCACCAATGAAGTAACTTCTCTCTTCCCAGATAAAAGCCTGTTTTCAGCAAAGAATCTGTGCATGCAGAACAGACTTTAGATGAACACAGACCCACAATGGATACTACTACACACAGGCAAAAAGGGGGAACATAGACAAATCTGCTTTCCATATCCACAGATTAGCACTGGTATACACAGATGATGTGAGTTCACTGACAGCCCATGTGCACAGATTTACATGCGCATGTAATGAGTGTAGGCAGCAGCATCCTCAGCATCCCTAACATTCAGATACACATGCCCAATCTCTCAGTGCAGACCAAAATGCCAATGTCTGTAGTAACTGTGCACACAATACTAATCACTGGGGTTGCCAACAGAGATGGGGGAAGGAGATACATGGAGCACCATCATGTGAACGGCATGATGTCATTTCTGGGGTGCAGTTTTAAGTGATATCATGTCACTCTAGGATTTAGTAGAAACTCTATAGTTTTACCACAGAGTTTCTACTGAATCGTCTGCTGAAACCTAGAGCACTGTAACATCACTTCTGGGTTCACCCCAGAAATGACATTATGCCTTCGTTGCACCAGTAATTTTTGGTTTATTTTTCCTTGGTGGCCTGCCAAATGGCAGCTGCTGGCAGGAGATCTCCCACTGCAGCAGGAGACCAGGCAACCCTACTAACTGGATTCTGACCACATGACAGCTCATTGTGATGAATTTGCTACTTACTTTGCAGACAAAATTCCCCAGATCAACTCTGGGTGAGATACTAGTGTGGATGCATGTTCAGACGATATACCTTTGGCACCTTTTTGTTCAATTTATATGGATACTTTTCGACTTGTGGAGCTCAAGGACATGGACAAGATCCATAGAGAGGTGAGACCTACCACCTGTGTTCCTGATCTTTGCTGTTCCTGGCTGATAAAAACTGCCAGAGGGGGACCCGGTTGAGTGGATAAGGGGACTGGTAACTGTTTCCTTGAGGGAGGGGGTTGTACCATCCATACTCAAGGAGGCAGTGATTAGACCTGTTTTGAAAAAACCCTCCCTAAGCCCTACTGTGTTGGAGAACATCCAGCCAGTCTCCAATCTTCCATTCTTGGGCAAGGTGCTCGAGTGGGTGGTAACTCAGGGCACTCTTGGAAGAGTCTGTTCTCTCACAAGCAGTTCTTTCAGAGCTCTCTCAGCCCCACCTACCTCACAGGGTATCTGTTGTGGGGAGAGGAAGGGAAAGGAGACTGTAAGCCACTCTGAGACTCCTTCGAGGAGTGAAGGGTGGGGTATAAATCCAATCCCTTCTTCTCCTTAGAAAAACAGGTGACTGTGGTGGTTCGGAGTGTGTTTGCTCAGCTTTGGCTGGTCCATCAACTGCATCCATTCCTGGGTGAGTCAGATCTAACCACAGTGATCCATGTCTTAGTTACGTCCAGACTGGAACATTGCAATGTGCTCTACTTCGGCTACCTTTGAACAGTGGAGGCTGCAGCTAGTGCAAGATGCTGTAGCCAGCTATCAGGAGCATGTGACCCCAATACTATAGCAATTACAATGGCTACTAATCCACTGGTGTTGATTTTGACCTTTAAAGACCTTCATGGCATGGGACTGGGTCATCTGAAGGACCATCTTCTCCCATATGTTCCTGCCCAGGAATTAAGATCACAGGGAGAGAGGCCCTCCTGACAACCCCATCAAAGGCACTCATTTGGAGGATGCACGAGAGAGGGCCTTTTCAGTGGCAGTCCCATGATTTTGGAACAACCCCCCAGGGAGGTGCACCTGGCCCCTCACTTTTTGACCTTCAGGAGGTAGTTGAAGACCATTTTATTTAGGACTGCGTTTAAGTTTAGTAACAGTCCTGAGTAGTGATTTTAAATGTTGGTTTTCTGTTTTTAATGTATTTTATTCTACCTGTTTTATCTCTGTTTGTAAACTACCTTGGGGCTCCATAAGGAAGAAAGATGGTTAACAAATGTGTTTAAATAAATAATCATATGCAATGACCTGTCTTGGATTCTAACCCTCCCTTCTATCTTGGCAGCATTGTCCTCTGTTGCGGAGACTGGATTCCTTTGTGGAGCATGTTTCACCAGCACCAGACACCTTCTGATCATGCAAGACCAGTTTCGTGCAATGAGCAGGAAGCACCTATTATGACAGGGATGCACTCCATAATGGACCATTACCTCCAAAACAGATGACAGTGTTATTGAAACAGAAGAAAGAGTTACGATCCAATGGCTGAATACCGGTGGGAGGAAGCAACATCAGGGAAAGGCCTTGGCCTCTATTCTCGGTTTGGTGGTTCTCCAAAGCAACCAGCTGGTCACTGTGTGATACAGAATGCTGGACTAGATGGATGACTGGTCTGATCCAGCAGGGCTCTTATGTTATGGCTATTATTGGGGCCATAATCAGTGGGAAAAGAGGGAAACAGCTGGCTTAGTACTAGCTGTTCACTTCTTCAGTCAGTTACATGGCCTCAATTGTTCAAATATGTGGCCCATCTTTACAGCCATTAGAGAAATATTTTTTTTAAAAAAAACTGAGAACTGATTCTCAAGATCTTGTAGTCAGTACCAAAGCTACAAAAGGGACAGAGTCTTGGATATGGTGAAACCCACTTTTAAAACACTGGCATGTCTCTTTATTT